GGAGTTCATGGTGGGGCTGCTGGACCTGTGCAACCCGCTGGAGCTGCTGTTCCTGGGCTCCTGCCTGGAAGACCTGGCCCGCAAGGACTACCACTGCCTCCGCGACTCGGAGGCGAAGGCCAACGGGCTCAGCGACCCCGGGCAGCTCGGCGACTTCCGCGACCCGGCCGTGCGCTCCACGCTCATCGTCTACCTGGCCCTGCTGGGCTCCGAGAACCGCGAGGCCGCCGGCCGCCTCCACCGCCTCCTGCCCCAGGTGGACTCCATCCTGCAGAGCTGCCCGGCGCGGCGGCCCCAAGCGGGCGCTGCCGAGGAGGAGGGGGCCGAGGAGGAGGACGTGGTGGTGGTGATGGACGGAGCTGGAGAAAACGGGCAGGCCAGCCTCCCCGCCGCCCAGGGCCTGGGCTTCGGCGCGCAGGAGGAGCTGCTCCTGCTCTTCACCATGGCCTCGCTGCACCCGGCCTTTTCCTTCCACCAGCGGGTCACCCTGCGGGAGCACCTGGAGCGGCTGCGGAGGGCCTTATGCGGGGACCAGGAAGAGGAGGGCTTCGGCCGCCACCAAGGCCAGGTAACGCCGCGTCCTGGTCTCTTCCCGCTGCGCCATCTCATCAGGCGGTTTCCTCCTCCTTCCTTCACCCCCTCCCGATTTTCTAGGAGCTGGGGGCGGCCGCCTGCCTTTCCCCGAAGCCCCCCATTGGGATGTGGCCCCTCCCGTCTTGCCTCGTTGCTCGTCCTGTTTCCCCCCGGCCCCCGGCAGTGTAGGCCCCGGCCACCCCCACAAGCTGCTGTCTAGCTCAAGGATGTGGCCCCTCCCGTCTTGCCTCGTTGCTCGTCCTGTTTCCCCCCGCCCCCCGGCAGTGTAGGCCCCGGCCACCCCCACAAGCTGCTGTAGAGTATCTAGTACAAATTTCATGTTGTGTCGTAACAGTGCCTGACTATGACGTAGTAGAACTGGGGAGGGAGGACTTCTTTTTCTGGCCTGCCATGCTTTCTGGAGCACTGCTTTTTGAATCCTGCCTTGCTGGAGCGCAGGGTGCAGAGTACTGCCACAGCTTGACTGGCTGCCTCGTACACTGTAGGCCACTGAAGAAGTTGCACGATGCAAAAGTACAAGCGACAGCTTGACTGAACTTGTAAAAATAGTAATAATGCTAGAGAGAAACCGTATGGCCTAAGAGAGTGTTCTCTAGGGGCTTAAAACAATAGAGCGCATTGAAATAATTTTTATATGGAACCTGTCTGTCCGTGTCCCCCTCCCCCCCGCAATGAGACTTAGGCGCTTGGACTTGGCAAGGATCAGGGCAGCAGTCAGGGGTCAGCGGCTCTAAGGCTGGTTCTCTGAAAAGCCGTGTTCAGTAAGGTGGCTGAAGACATTTGGGAAGGGGTGGTAATCATTCCACTAAAGGAGCAAATTAAGATGTCACAGCTGGAGCTTCTGTTCAGAGAAAAGCTGATTTTCTGGGTGGCTATCAGGAAACAGCAAAGCACATCTTGGAAGCAGATGTGCCACTTGTTGCTAGAAGGTGGCTGTCACTGAGAATGAAGACTTTCAGTGAGTGCCACTGAAGCATTGTCCTGTGCAGCAGCTGTGTTTAAACTAAGTTTTTCCCCCAGTGCCATTCATTGCTGCCCTCTTGATGAGCGTTGGCTTTAAAATCTGCCCCATATTTATGCAACCAAGCCATCATCTTGGAGCTCTGCAGTTTTTGGTCTATAGATGGCCTCTCGTGCAAAGGGGAAGAAAGGGCTGGAAGATAGGTGTTTATAATGCTGTTCAACTAAACGCATCAGGTTTTCATCGGGTACTTAACAGAAAAAGGTACGAAACGGTAAGGGTTGGGGTTTTTGGATTTTGTTTCTAAGTTTGCTCGCAGTGCTATCCAATTCAGCCACTCCTAGCAAACTGTTTTACATTGCCTGCCATACGGAAGGAATGGCTCCTTTTTCTGTTTGGTAAAGACAGGATATGCTCTTGAGAAGTACTCAGAGGAGACAGGGATGACTTTCTAAGCCTTCAAATACCTTAAGTAAATGCTTGTATCATTTTAAGGCCAAAGCACATTTGGCAGGTCATAAACTAGTGGGTAGAAGTTATGGTACTGAAATCATAATGAATTTGTAGTGTAAGACCAAAAAGTGTTTATTTCGGCTCATTGACCTGCATCAGGTCTAGTTCTATCCCAAAATGAATCCTGGAAGTCCATCTTTAGGAGGAGAAGATCGAGTTGCAGGAAGTGGTAAGACGGGACACTGTACTTGCTGGGTTTAAAGTGCTAATAACTGGAAACATACCCCCTGCCTGAAACTGGCACATCAGTTGTAGCTGCCCAGTGTGTCCCACCAAATGCATTAGGAGATCAGGCTCTCACGAACTACTGGAATTGAAGTCTGTTTTGTGCAGCATTCTGGCTTCAGCGTAACAGCAGCCTTCCAAGTTGTGGTGGTTTCATTTACTCAGGGAACACTGAGAGACCCGAGTCAGCTTGGCTGAACACGCACATCACATATTCCCTAGTCCACACAGGACTGAAACGGCATCCCTTCTGTAGGCCTTTTTTTCCTTTCTTAATGGTTAAATTGTAAATACAGCAGAGCCTCTTCCGGGAAATAATGGCTGACAGGGAACAGCGGGATTGATGGGTTTCTGCTGAGTACTTTCAGTTCACGTTCGCAGGGAGAGTGGGACCCTTGCAGGTAAGATGCTGGAGGAAATGGAGTTAGTAGTGTGGTTAAAGGCTTCCCCGGCAAAATGCAGGTGTGCTGTTAAATTGGACTTGATTTCAAATCCTGTCAGGTGTCCACAGGCTTTTTATCCTTCTTTAATCTCTGAAATTTAAGTGCCTTTAGGGCTCTGCGTTTGTGAACTAAAACGGTTCATAAAGACCTCTTTGAATTTTTCTTCGGCTGCCCGCGGGTCAGAAGGGCTGGGCTCCCTCTGTGGTTATAACCCGCTCTGTGGCCGTGTAGGCAGCAGCCGTGCAGCACGAGCAGCTTTACCTCCCGCCCTTCGGATGTTCGCGGTGCCCTGCGCCCTTCCAGCCTTCCCTGGCCTGGGCCGTGCCCCCAAGGGCCAGCCCGCTGGCCGCCTCGCTGTCGCCACTCCCAGAGGTCCGCCCAAGGCATGGG